GATCTCCTGACCTCGTGATCCACCCGCCTCGGCCTCCCAAAGTGCTGGGATTACAGGCTTGAGCCACCGCGCCCGGCCACATTCTCGGCTTCTACCCCAGACCTACTGAAACAGAAACTTTGAGAGTGTGTCCCAGAAATATGTTTTAACAAATCTTCCAGGTCATTCTGTTATACATTTAAGTTTGAAAATCACTGGAAGTTGGGACAGAGATGGTTTGGGGTTTAGGAAAATGGGGAAGTGGAGCTCGGGGTCATGAGAGGGTTGTAGGGTACCAGTGCTGTTCTGTTCCTTGGCCTGGTTGGGAAGTATTTTCAGCCTTTGATAATTCACCGACCTACATGTACACTTGGGATTTGTGCACTTCATTGTTTATGTCTTATGTTTCATTTTTAAAATCTAAAATGCTTATTAGAAGGTGCTAGATAATAAAACTGAGGAAATCTTCCAAAAACAAAGCAAAAACAAAAAACACAGATGGAAAAAATGAGTGAATGAAGAGATGCAGAACATATAATATCTCAATAGTAGATGTTCCAGAAAGAGAAACAGAGAAAAAAAGGGGAAGGAAAACATCCAAGGGATAATTTAAGAAAAATTCTTAGAACTAAAGCCCATGAATTTCCAAACAAATTGAAAGGGCCCATCAAGTGCCTGTTTCTCTATGTTGGTCAGGCTGGTCTCAAACTCCTGACCTCAGGTGATTCACGTGCCTCAGCCTCCCAAAGTGCTGGGATTATAGGCGTGAGCCACCGCACCTGGCCCAGGATTGCTATTTTTTTGGAGCGAATTTTATAGAACTGACTCTTTATGAGCACGTCCAACTTTCATAACAACACAGCTAAAAGCAAAACATGATGCTTTGACTGTGTGATCAGGTAGGTCGATTAAGGTATCTTCACCTCCCCAGAAATGATGCCAAAGATAAGCATTTACTAAAAATGAAGGGATGTTCACAATATGTTAAATGGAAAAAGCAGACTACAAAATGATGTGCACATTAAAAGTGTATGTGTGTGTAGAAGAAAGTGTGAAGGATACACACCAAAATGTTTGGAGTTACTCTCTCTTCTTGATGGGTGGAGAGGGGGTATTTTCTTCCATTTGTTTGTTTGTAGCCCATATTTCTGCCATCTCAGTATCCTCAAATCTTCCAGATTAACAGGATCATGCTTTCTCTTAAGACTGAAATAAAAATGGCTGAAATCTTCATCCTATGTCTTGTGCAAAGTCCATGGCCCTCCCCCAACGTCACTGCAAATTTCCTGGTGCTTAGCTGTCATGTTCACTCCAGTTTCCTCTTCCTGTTGCTCTCGATTTCCCTGGCATCCTGCTTTCTGCAGCTGTTCCCTTCTCTCTGCCCCTAGTTAACCCAAATATGGAACACTGCCCCTTTTCTTTGATTTCCCCCAAGGAGTATCTTACATGAGGCACTGCTGAGGGGCTACAGCCCTACATAGTACTGTACACAACTTAAAATCTACAGGAACATCTCTGTTCCGATGTGTCCTGGCTGACCCTGCTTCTGGGAGATTTTCACTGGACGCTCTTCTCAGACCCTGCCTCTCACCAAGAGAGAGGGATGGCCTCACTTCTGCCCCCTCCAGGCTCCACTCTGTGCCTTCGGGATACTCACCTGCCACCAAGAGGACACTACCAAATCCTCAGGTTCTTTGTTTTCATATGCAGAGTGTGAGGCCTCCCTCACGAAATCCGCTTCTTCCAGCAATAAGATCTTGTCTTTTATGTTGGAAATTTCATCAAGAAACCTTTTGAGAGTTATCTCCTCCAACTGGAACAAGCAGTAGGAGTCGGTTCTGGTTGTCTTCTCACTCTGTGCATAATGACTGTGCATTTTCTAGCATGACTGTGCATTGCTTTTGTAATTCAACTATTTTCAGCAAGAGAAGTACCAATAGTATTCAGGAGTGGTTGCTGAAGCAGCAGCCACCTGTGAGCAGGTGTAAACATCAAGTCCCAAGGGTCCAGCAACTACCTAAACCTCCTGCTTTGTGCCAGGCTGAGGGAATGTTCACTAAGGCAGTGTGGCAGGTGGAGGCCAGAGCAGGCCCAGAGTTCCCTGGAGCTGCTGAGCCCAGTGTGGGCAACAGGACTCCAAAGAGACTTGTAGCCAGTACAAACTATGCCCCAGCTAAACATGATGCCTTCCCCTTTCTTCCATATTGATATCGCCTGCCCCAGGCCTGGCACAGGTGCAGCGCCTTCCCCAGAAGCCTTCCCTGACAGCCTCCTTCTTCACCAGCTCTACTATTTATCAGCTGTATGGCAAGTTAGTTCACCTCCCCCATGCCTCGGTTTCCCCACCTATAAAATGAGGATAAGAATGTCTGTAAGAATCAAATAAGTAATACTTGTAAAGTACTTGTAACGGTGCTTGGCTTAGAGTTAGTACTGTATAATGTTAGTCATCATCACCATCACCATTATGATTTCCACTGTGCCCATGGAATCTGCCCTTGACCAAGACATCCACTTGGTCTTGTATGGGAGGCTGCCTAGGGGAAGGAGGGCCTGATATTATTTATTTCTGTTCACATCCCAGCCAGAAAAGGTGCCAGCACCAAATTTGTGCTCAGTACCTACCTGGCTGATTAAACTTTGGAAAGAAGCAGCAGATCAGTTGAGAAACCACATGCAAGCATATCTGTCCTGACACCCTAGTTAGTTCTGTGACGTCCCTTCTTAGAAATTCTGAGTTTTCTTTCCCTAGACATGGTCACTATTTCCACCTAGATTCTTTCATAACCCACTCATCAGAGAAATGTAAGAACTGAACAAGTGAAAGTAAGACCTCTACAAGGAAAACTAGAAAACACTGATGAAAGAAATCAAAGAGGATACAAACAAATGGAAAGCTATCTTATGCTCATGGATTGGAAGAATTAATATTGCTAAAATGACCATACTGCACAAAGCAATCTACAGATTCAATGCAATCCCTATCAAAATATCAATGTCATTTTTCAAAGAAATAGAAAAAAAATCCTAAAATTCATATGGATCCAAAAAAAAGCCAGAATAGCCAAAACAATCCTAAGCAAAAAGAATGAAGTTGGCAAGCCAGGAATGGTGGCTCACGCCTGTAGCCCTGGCACTTTCGAAAGCCAAGGTGGGCGGATTCCTTGAGCTCAGGAGTTCGAGACCAACCTGGGCAACATGGCAAAACCCCGTCTCTACCAAAAATACAAAAATTAGCCGGGCCTGATGGTGCATACCTGTAGTCCCAGCTACTTAGGAGGCTGAAGCAGGAGGATCACTCGAGACTGGGAGGCAGAGCAGAGGTTGCAGTGAGTTATGATCACGCCACCACACTCCAGCATGGGCAGCAAAGCCAGACCCTGTCTCAAAAAAAGAAAAAGAATAAAGTTGGAAGCATCATACTACTTGACTTCAAAATGTATTACAAGGCTATAAGTAACTGAAACAGCATAGTATTGGTATAAACATAGACATGGACCAATGGAACAGTATAGAGAGCCCAGAAATAAAGCTACATATTTATAACCAACTGATTCTCAACAAAGGCACCAAGAGCATACACTGGGGAAAGGACACCCTCTTTAATAAGTGGTGCTGGAAAAATTGGATGTTTATATGCAAAAGAATGAAACTGGGCCCCTATTTCTCATCATATACAAAAATCCATCTTGAGTTCAAGATGGATTAAATACTTAAAAGACCTGAAGCTATAAATGACTAGAACAAAACAGGGAAAACACTTCAGAACATTGGTCTAGGCAAAGATTTTATGACTCAGAGCTCAAAAGCATAGAGAACTAAAACAAAAATAGACAAATGAGACTATATTAAACTAAAAAGCTTCTACAAAGCAAACAATCAACAGAGTGAAGAGGCAGCCGGCTGAACAGGAGAATGTATTTGCAAATTATTTATCTGACAAGGGAACAATATCCAGAATACACGAGGAACTCAAACAACTCAATGGAAGAATAATCACATTAAAAATGGGCAATGGACACAAGCACAATTCTCAAGAAAAGAAAAAAAAAAAAAGAAAAAAACAAAAACAAATCAAGAAAAGACAAACAAATGGCCAAGTCTGTTAAAAAATACTCAACATCATGTAGCAAACCTGCATGTTCTGCACATGTACCCCAGAACTTAAAGTATAATTTAAAAAAATACTCAACATCACTAGTCATTAGGGAAATGCAAATAAAACCACAACAAGGTATCCTCTCAACACCAGTTAAAATGGTTATTATTAAAAAGACAAAATATACAAATGCAAGTGAGAATGTGGAGAAAAGGGAACTCATACACTCTTGGTGGGGAATGTAAATTAGTACAACCATAATGGAAAACAGTATGAAGACTTCTCAAAAAACTAAAAATAGAACTACCATGTGATCCAGCAATCCCACTACTGGTTATCGCTGCAAAGCAGACCCTCACTAGATACCAAATCTGCTGGTGCCTTGATCTTGGACTTCCTAGTCTCCAGAACTGTGAAAATAAATGTTTGTAGTTTATGGTCTTTTGTTGTAGCAGCCCAAGGTGACTAAGATAACTATTTCTAAACACTTAAATCCCCTTTTGTAGGACAAAGATTTGCCAGCACAAGGAGTGTATTAGGTAATCAGTCAGGAAGTGAAGACCCAATCAGAGATACAAAAGGGCTTTGAGCAATGGCAGAATTATTAGACAAAGTGTGTGCTCCCAAGCCGACTATCTTGAGAGGAATATTGCTTTGTATAGGAAGGTAGCATTTGCTACAAAACCAACCTAGTTGTTTCCAGTCAGTCCTCTGCAGAAAAACTACACAACCATGAAGATTGAGGAGCAGCAGTTGTGCAGTGGGTGGTTTAACTTTGTCTAAAAACAAAAACAAAATTGAGCACAAAGTCTGAGCTACCTAGTAAGTAGGGATTTGAATGAGGTGAAATGTTAAGTTCCAAATGTGTCCTATGTCAAAGCAGCCCTGGAATCGCATATTTATCTTTATCCCCAGGGCTCAGAGTTTGTGTTGGAAATAGAAGAAAACATCCAGATACATGTTTTACACCTAAAGGCTGTAACTGAGAGAATATAGTGTGGCACCAGTGGGCTCATAGCTCAGAGGCACGCAGGTCCTTCCCAAGAGAGTCAGTGGTTTCTTGCTCTTCTAGTCGCCCTGCCTGGCCTTGAGTACAGACTCCTGATCACAGCCCTGGTGATTCCCTCCGTCTGGTCACCCTGAGTCAAAGCTGGAGGAGGTTGATAAATGGCAGTTCTCAGGCCACAGCTCCTGATGCCTGGAAAGAAACACATCATGTGAGTACAGATGACAGAGATGACTGCCCCATGCCAAGCAGTGGCCACGTGGCTCTCTGTACCAGTTAGGGTCTAAGCAGTGTAGCAGAAGCACAGTGAGTGATTCAGAAAAGGGGATTTTTCTAGCCAGGCGTGGTGGTGGGCGCCTGTAATCCCAGCTACTTGGTTGGCTGAGGCAGGAGAATTGCTTGAACCCAGGAGGAGGAGGTTGCAGTGAGCCGAGATTGTGCCACTGCATTCTAGCCTGGGTGACAGAGCAAGACTCCATCTCAAAAAAAAAAAAAAAAAAAAAATTCTGTAGTTTTGTACAAGATGAGACTTAGCCTTGGGTACTTCTTGCTGAAACTTTAATGCTTTGTAAATAAAATAGGAAGTTTATTAGAAAAGGGGTTTGTCATAAGGATCATGGGAGCTGGTGAAGAAATCTAGGGGAGACTGTTGCCTCTGTACATAGTGGTAGCCCTGGAGTCTCTGCTGATCGGCAGGGCTGGAGGTTGGGAAGAAAGCTGCATAGAAGCAGGGAAAAGGGAGGATAAACTGGAACCTGTGAGGACAAACTGGAACCTGTAATGACAAACCAGAGCCTGTGCCTGTTTCTGCCTGACCAGAAATAGTCACATGGCCCTGCCCAACTACAAGAGCACTGGGAATATTGTGGGGAAATATATGCATATTCAGTAAGCATAAATGCCTCTCCATCAAATATTAGTTATATGATAATATAACTGAGGAGGAAATGGAATTCATGCTTGAATGATTCTCTTTGCCTAAAGTCATAAAGATGTATGCCTATATTTTCTTCTAAGAGTTTTATAGCTTTAGCTCTTACATTTAGATCTTCAGTACATTTTGAGTTAATTTTTGTATGTAATGTGAAGTAGGGTCCAACTTTATTCTTTTGCATGCAGATATCCAGTTGTCCTGACATCATTTGTTGAAAAGACTATTATTTCTCCCATTGAATTGTCTTGGCACCCTTGCCAAAAGTTAATTGACCATAAATGTGAGGATTTATTTATGGGCTCAATTCTATTCCATTGATCTATATGTCTATCCTTATGCCAATACTGCACCATCTTGATTACTGTAGTAAGCTTTGAAATAGGTAAGTACAAGTCTTCCAACTTTGTTCTTTTTCAAGCTTGCTGTGGCTATTCTGGGTCCCTTGAATTTCCATATGAATTTTATGATCAGCTTGTTAATTTCTGCAAATAAATCAGATGGGATTTTGATAGGGATTACACTGAATCTATTGATCAGTCTGAAGAGTATTACCATCTTACCAATGATCCATGAACATGGGATGTCTTTCTATTTATTTAGGTCTTCTTTCATTTCCTTCAACGACGTTTTGTAGTTTTCAGTACATTCTGCACTTTTTTTGTTAAATATTCCTAAGTATTCTATTCATTTTGATGCTATTATAAATGGAGTTTTCTTAATTTTCAGTTTATTGCTACTGCAGTAAGTTTTATTTTTGTATGTTGATATAAAAATACAACTTATTTTTGTGTATTGATCTTGTATCCTGAAATCTTCTAAGCTTTTTTTTTTTTTTTTTTTGATGAGGTCTCACTATGTTGCCCAGGCTAGTTGCAAACTCTTGGATTCATATAATCCTCCCACCTCGGCCCCCCAACTAGCCAGGATTATAAGCATGTGCCACTGCACCCAGCTCTTCTGAGCTTTTTTATTAATTCTAATAGTTTTCTAGTAGATTCCTTAGGATTTTCTATATACAAGATCATGTCATCTGCAAATATAGTTTCACTTCTTCCTTTCCAATCTGGATGACTCTTATTTAATTTTCTTGGCTAATTATTACTGACTTTTTTTTTCAGAATCATTTATTTGCTAGGTCTTTTTGTCTTCAGCACACACCAACAACATGGTGCTTACTTTTTTTAACAAGAAAACTGAGGAACAGAAAGTCACACTACCTGGATATATGGGTCCTGCAACATTCAGGACCTAGCTGTCTCAGTGTCCCAGATTAATGTCCTCTTTGAAGTTCGACAGCATTATTCTAAATAAAGAACTCCCCAAGAGAATCAACTACAATTGTAAATTCAGTAAATTGAAATTTGTTGCAAACAAAACGAAGCACCAATTTTCATTCAACCTTCAGATTGATTTTTGCTACAAAGTTGTACAAATCTACAGGGTCTCAATTATGCTAGAGATTGAGCTTAGTAAATTACACAACCAAGTGAGCCTCAGTGGTAGGCTGAGGTCACACATTTCCAGCTCTCACCAGAGGTACCTCCAAACCCTAAAACTGCATAAAGAGGCACAAGTCCAAGGCCAGAAAGAATAGCTTTTACAAAGATTTGCACACATTCTTGGCTAAATGTTTATATATCGGAAGGCCTGTCCCTAATGTGTTGTTTTTTGTTCTCAGTTTTAACATTAGTGAGAGCAGCAACATTCTGGGGAAGTGAAGCTTAAGCATTCAAAGAGCTGCCAGACCTGTGACAGCCTGTAGGGGTAGGGAAGCTAATACTTGTCCCTAAGGCCAGAGCTTACCAAGGACAAGAAGATCAGGAACCAAGATGGCAAGAAATGTACAGTTTGGTCCAGTGATGCCCTTGGTCCAGCTCTGGAGCAGCCTAGAGCTCTGGCTGAGAAACTCAAGCAATTGAAACTAGGCTCAAGGCAATTAATCCTGCACTTCTAAGGTTGCTATAACTATCCCGCCTGTTTAGCTCGAGTTAAAGGTCAGACTCTATAATAAACCTCCTTTTGGAAGTTGAGATCACCACGACCCCAGCCTGAGGGCCAAGGCAGAAGTGTTCAGGTAGAACCTGGAACCAATAGCAGGCTTTACTTTCAGGGTCAGAGGAAGGCAGGAAGGAACCTTGAGTTCCAGGACTTCTTTTAAGTGTGCCAGCCAGCCCCAGCTCCCTCAGAATTAGTATGAGAAAAGGAAGTTGAAAATAGGAAATATAAACACAGGTGACTGTAAGCCTGTGAGCATGGATATACACACCAACCCCCAAATCTTAGTTTGACAAACATCACAAGTCTGTGTTGTGAACTGAAGTGTAGACCATGTACCCCTAAG